GGGGGGGACAAGAAGTACCTTTAAAACTTTAAAAAGTTGTCTGTTATGTGTAGACATCCCCTGAGTTAAGTGTCTCTCAGTTCCCTATCAAATGGCTCAACAAGCAAAAAACATTCCTATGAATATGATCAGATACACAGACTGTATTCAAAATAAGTTAAAAAAGCAGCCAGTGTCCAAAGAAAAAACTTTGGAGAACTATTGCTTAAGAGCACTTTTAACATGTTACAAGAAAGTCTAGCTCGTTGGAAGAAAAGCAGAAACAAATGAGTGGTGGCTTTCACCCACCACTGTAACAAAAATACTGATGGTATATAGGAATGTGAACTGATAACCAGTGTCAGTTGAGAACTAGTTCTATATTGTTCACTCCACCTACAACGTCAAAGCTGATCAAGTTCATCCAATGGCACATACAAATTGACTCCATTACTCATAAATCACATAAAGACAACACAATCAAAAGACGCATCAAGACCAGCTGCAAAGCCGCACTGTCAAATGACAGGAAGTGCAACAGGATGACGAAAGCAGTCACAGCCACATTTTTGTTTTTGTCCTGTCAGCTGATCAACGCACAGACACAATCAGTTTGTAACAATAGTTTTGTCACAACTTTAAAGGTGAACCAAAGCATAACCGAAAAGACACGATGAATGTGAGCATAATGTTGGCACAAATAGGACCTCACAGCTTCCTCCTTGGCCACGTAAAAGCAAGCAGGGGTACAAGCTTTCAAATATTAGTACTATTAGTACATTTAACGCATAAAAATACCAAACAACTACTGTTTTTCCCTTATTTGAGGCAAGGTTTTGTGATGTATTGCACTGCAATAAGGTTAAATTCGTTTTTTATTTTATTTTTTTTACCTATGTAATAAGCTTCTGACAGAGTTTCTGGTGATAAGACACTTAAAGGGAGAGCTAAACTCCTTTTTCTAGAGCGTGTTTCGTGTATATTTGAGTACAGCTATGTCGGGTGCCGACTTACCAACGGACATTGTTGACGACTCGTTAGCTGGAAGTGGCAGGAAATACCTTGACACAAAGATAAAGCAACAACGACGGCTCGTTACAGTATATACGGGCTCTAAATATGTGTGCGTATACATCCGCAGAGTAGCTAACAAGAGCGCCGACTGTAAACACGTTATCGAGGAGTTTCACATAGCTAACAACGCGACTCCTTCGTACTAGCGTAACTGTTCACTATGAAATGTACAAAGTTAGTTCAAGCACGATAACTGCAGTGTCAATAGCCTACGTTTTAGCTTAAAAACGACAAAAATGGCAAACCCATGAGAGAAATAAGTATTAGTTAAATAATTCTAGCTAGGAAATACTTACCAGTGGTGATATTCGGTTTGGGTGGCTTTGTTATTCTGTTACTTCAGTTTCCTCCACAGAAGGATGAAGTGTTGTGTTCAAAGGAGGCGCTGGGAGAGGGTTCAAAGGTCCCGGTGAAAGAAGAACAAATGTGTTTCCACACTGGTTAGATAACGTTTGATAGTAGCTTATCTTCAGCAGCTGTATTTAAAACAAGTTCTGAAATATTTAGCAATTAAATCCCAGAATGACTTTCTTACTGGTAATATCTCAAAGGTCACCATATATTAAACGCTATCGGTGTTAGTTTTATGTGTTATTTTCCTCTTCTTATTTAGATGGAGCACATTTTTTAGCTCCTGGCATGCACTCGCTGGCCATTTTATTAGGTACACCTTGCTAGTAAGTCTCCCAGTCCACCACATCCCAAAGTTAAATTGAACTTTGCGACACGGTGCATTGTACTGGAAGTAGCCGTCTGGAGACGAATCCATGCTTTTCGTGTTCTTTATGCCAAATGCTGATCCTAACATCTGAAAATGGCAGCAGAAATCAAGACCCATCAGACCAGACAGCATTTCTGCTGTCCAGTTTTCGTGAGCCTATGTGAATTTTACCCTAATTGTCTTGTTCTTATCTAAAAGGAATGGCACCCAGTGAGGTCTTCTGCTGCTATAGCACATCTGATTCAAGCTTCAGCATGCTGTGCATTCAGAGGTGCTCATCTGCATACCTTTGTTTTAACAAGTGGCTATTTGATTTAATTTTGCTGTCCTGTCAGCTCAAAGCAGTCTCATCATTCTTTGACCTGTGATATCAACAAAGTACTTTTAGCCAGAGAACTCGAAACTCACTGGATATTTTCCTTTTTATCCGGCGCATTCTCTATAACCCTTACACATGGCTGTGTTTTTGAAAATTCCAGTAGATCAACAGTTTTTGAAATACTCAGATCAGCGCATCTGATACCAGCAACCATGCCAAGTCAGTTACCTTTCTTCTCCTTTCTGATGCTCAGTTTGAATTTCAGCAGGTCATCTTGGCTATGTCCACAGAGCACTGAGTGGCTGCCATGTGACTGGCTGGGATATTTGCATGAATATGCAGCTGAACAGGTATACTTAACAAAACACATGGTGAGTGTGTGTTGCAAATAATTTTCTATGTGTAGATCATATTTGTCATACCTGTTACAGAGGTCAAATACTAAAGTCAAGTAAATGTAGTGGAGTAAAAAGTACAGCATTTTTCTCTGAAATGCTGTTGAGTAGAAGTAAAATACTTCTAAAATGACATAAAAGCAGATTTGTATCTACTTATAGCAGAATATAACTGATTCTGCTTGCTGTTATTTACCACAGTGAATACCGGTGTTTAAAAAGTAAAGCAGTGGTGAAAATGTAAAATATCGTTTCCTAAACTTTTACTGAAAGTTTGCTTAAGCTTATATGTTAGCTTAGAAAGCAAGGCTGTTTGCAAAAGCAAAGAAAAAGACTCTCTGACACCTCAAATAGCCTTAAAATAGGAACACGTACTGAGCTGGCTGACTCAAGGCATTTAAAACTGAAGTCCAATGTTTCAGTGTCTCAAACCTTTGACCTTTATTACCCACCAGATAAGATTTATAATAATTTAGTAGATCATGTTAAAACATGTGCAAGATTCCGTTTTGAGTGGGTTGATCAAATGACTCGCAGACGATTACCTAGGATGATGATTAATTCCCTTTACTGTGCTGCTTTAGTGTCTGTCCTGGACCACAACACGCCAGATCTTTCTGTTAATGCAAAAGCAAGGGCATAATGTGTATGATTATAACTAATGTTGACAAATATAATGTGAATCTTTAACAGAATATAACATTGTTGTTATGGTACAACTAGATATATTACAAGGCAAAGTAACCCAAGATTTCACATAAATAACAAATAAAGTCTAAGAGGGCCATTCCAGTTTACAGCATGACATATTCACACTAGGAGTGCTATGGTTTGTGATAACATAACAAAACCAAATGTCAGATCTGGTTTAGTGTAGAGAATATATTTTAAGAAGTCACAGATAGGGGCGTCATGTTGGATTCCCAATCGAATAAGCTCCTCCTACCACCCACTACAGCCTAGAAAAATGTCTCTTGGTAATAATTGCCATGGGGATGGCAGAGCCTGCCGAAGCTGGGGGCGGTTTGACTGAGGTCCATCATAGAAGTGTGAGGCGTGTTGAGCAATCACATCTTCCAAATGAAACAAAGCAAAAAAATTAAATAGAAACAGGATATGTATGTGTGTGTATGTGTATAT